CTGGGATTACAGGTGCGCACCAGCACACCCAGTCTCAGTTGCCATCTAAGCGCACCCCGGGGGGGGCAGGCCCAGGTATTGAACCCATGGCCCCTATGCCTGCTTGCAGGAGCTTTGATCCCCTGTGCTATTTGGCCGGCCCTGTGGGTTGTATTTATATTTTAGACTTTATTTATTTATTTATTTTTTTGTGGAACCGGGGGATTGAACTCAAGGCCTTGCGCTTGCCAGGGAAGCGCTTATTCTGCTGAGCCATCTCCCCGGCCCTGTGGGTTGTATTTAGATGTCTGCCCAAAGCCTGCTGCAATCAGAGGTGGAGCTTCCTGGAGGGGGCTGGATCTAGGGTGTGATGCTGCGATGGAGTTAGAGTGTGAGGCTAGGAGTAAGGGTGAGAGTGCCAAGGGCAGGAAGCCTCGATAAAGCAGGAAGAGGGTTGCTTCCCTCTTATTGCTTTGCCACTCTGCTGTATGCTGCCTGGCTGCCTTCAGCATGCCGTGCTCCTCTACCATGCCACCTGGCCCTGGAGCCAGCCCAACTGGAACATCTATGAACTGGAACATCTATGAACTGTGAGCTGGGCTGGTGAGATAGCTTGGTGATCTAAGTGCCTGCCTGGTAAGCTCAAGGAGCGAAGTTCAATCCCTGGTACTGCGTGCCATGCCAGCCCAGGCCATCTGAAGCGCTGGGGAGGCTGAGATAAGATCATTACGAGTCTGAGCTGGGTAGCGAGACCCTGTATTGAATGAATGAATAAATAAATAATTAAAAGAACCCCAAACCCTTAAAGAAACCTGTGAACTAAGTAAACCTTTCCTACTTTAATTTGGGTGTTGAGTTTTTTTTTTTTTTTCTTTTCGCTCTCAGCAAGGAAAAAACCAACTAAGACAGCTGGTTTCTTAAAAAGATGAATACCTTGATCAACCTCTACCAGGATTTACTGAGACAAAAAAGAGACAAGAGACCAATTATTAAGAATAAGAGTAGTACATCACTACTGGTCCCATAGACATTAATAGGATAATAAGGGACTGTTATGAATAACTAAGCCAATAAATTTGATAAGTTAAACAAAATAGAGAAATTCATTAGAACTATAAAATACCAAAGCTCATTCAAGAATTGAATAATAGGAATAGCTTCGCATCCATTATAAAAATTAATTTGTAGTGAATAACCCCAACACACACACACACACACACACACACACACACACACACACACAAACTCCAGGCAGGCCTAGATGGCTCTTTAATTTCACCAAGCACCTGAAGAAAAATCAATACTGATAACTGCAGAACTTCTTTGTCAGGAAGGCATTTCCCAGATACACAAATCATGTAACAATATTGCAGACAAAGAAAACTACAGCCTAATATCCTTTATGAGCGGATACAAACTTTCTTAACAAAAGGCAAAGGAATCTAAAATATATAGAAATTCTCATCCATCATCTCGAAATGGGGCTTTTCTTGGGAATGGAAAGCTGGTTGAATGTTTGAAAACCAATTAACAAAATTCACCATATGGACAAACTAATGAAGAAAATCGTATAACCATCAGAACAGAGGCAGAGAAAGCATTTGCCAAAATTCAACATTTAATCACAAGAAAAACAAGAACTAAGGGATCTCTCTCAATCCGATAAAGAGCATCTATAGAATGACCACAACTGGATGCTTTTTATTTATTTATTTGTTTATTTAGGTCAGGCACTGCAGGGTCTACAGGTTCTACAGGGTCTCACAATACAGATCAGACTCATAGTGATCTTCTTGTTTTCAGCCTCCCAAGTGCTGGGATTACAGGCATGTGCCATCATGCCCAGTCTCACAACTCTTATTGTATATAATGGTGAAAGACAGTGTTTTCCCCGCATAACTGGAATGGAGATGAGAATGTCCTTTCTATTCAATACTGTAATATGGGCTTAGTCAATGTGAAAAGTTGAGAAATAAGAAGAGCATACTGGAAAGGAAAAAACTCTGTAGAAGACATTGTTATCAAAGTAGAACATCCCAGGTATTTGAATTAAAAATATGTACTAGAACTAAAAAGAAGTTCAAAAACTTTGCGAATTTTGTCAGTATATAAAAACCAATCATTTCTAAATATTAACAATGAACAGTTGGTAACTAAAGTAAAAATACTGTGTACTAAACATATGAGATACTTAGGTATAAGTAGTGCAAATAATTATAAGATTTATACAATGTTTTTGCTTTTGGTGATATTGGGAGTTGAACCCAGAGCTTTCCCAATGAATTATATTTTTTAATATAATTCTTTAATAACTTTAAAAAATTTTTTTACCTTTAATAACTTTGTAAAAATTTTGAGACAGGGGCCCACGAGGTCACTAAATGGCCTAGGCTGGACTTAAACTTGCAATCTGATGCTTTCTGCATCAGACTCCCAGAGTGGTGGGGTTGTAGGCATGTGGCACCATGCCTAGCTAACAAGGTCTGTGTCCTGTGAACTACAACATAATGATGAAAGGAATCAAGAAGCCTTCAAGGGGAGACAACCCATGTTCATGGATTGGATAACTTGCTATTATTAAGATGTCAATTTTCGGGGGCCGGGGAGATAGCTTAGTAGAAGAAGTGCTTGCCTGACAAGCACAAGGGCCTGAGTTCAATCCCTGGTTCCAAAAAAAAAAAAAAAAAAAAAAAAAAGTCAGTTTTCTCTAAATTTATATAACTATTATATGAAATTCCAATAAAATATTTTGGCAGTAAAAACACACCTTTTCTAAAGTTTATGAGAAAGTGTGTAGAAATGAATAGGATAACCAAAGTGACTTCAGAAAAGGAAAAAGTGAAGGACTAACTTCAAGACCATTACCAATGTTAACAATTATTATAAGACTACAGTAATCATGACAGTGCAATATGAATGAAAGAACAGAAATGTAAATAAATGGAACAGTGTATGATGTCCAAAATGTGGCTGATTTTGATAAACATGCAAAAGCAATTCAACTCAGCCTATGGTGCTACAACAACTGGATGCTTGCATGAAAACGGAATTCCTAATTATTCTTTACACCATATGCAAAAATTAACTCAAAACAGAACACAGAACTGAAAGTAAATCCTAAATTTCTGAAACCCAGAGAAGAAAACAGAAGAAAAATCCTCATGACTTTGGGCAAGACAAAGATTTCTTAGATCAACACACTACCCATAAAAGGACTGATGACATAATAAAAAACTAAGAATTTATGGCTTCTGAAAGATACCCAGAACACAATGAATAGATAAAGAAATATTCGCTAATCACATGTGATAAAAGACTATATCTAGAATATTCAGAGAACTCTCAATACCAAACCAAATAACTAGGCAAACAAACTACCAAAATACAGGCAAAGGATATGAACAAATGGTTCATCCAAGGAGACTAACAGATGGTACATAAGCACATAAAAATAGTGGACATTATTTATTATGAGGGGAGTACGTTAAAATCACCGGGGGCATCACTACACATGCGCTAGACCCAGGGAAACTGGAAATACCAAGCGCTAGTAGTACAATTGCAGAGAAACTGAGATTTTGGCTGGTAGCAACCCTCACGGCTGAGCAAACATGGACTGCGTGACTCAGCTGCCCCACCCTAGACATTTACTCAAATGAAGCGGAAACTTGTGTTCACACAAAAATTTACACACAAATGTGTAACAGCGGCTTTATTTATAATAGCTAAAAAAGGACAGAACACAAAAATGCTCACTTAGTGAAGGCATAACCAAGCTGTGTTACATTCACAGATCATGACTCAGCGATAAAGAGAAGCGAGCTCCTGGTAAAGCCAATGACACGGATGACAGGGCCGATGACATGGGAAAGAGCGCCACGTCCTTCCTCATTTCATTTCTATGATGTTCCGGCAAAGGTGAGGCCATGCAGACACAAAGACGGAGGCCCCCGTCTCTGTAGTGCCTGCTACGGGCTGGATTGTGTCCCCTCCTCCCGCACACCGGAGGTTGAACCCCAGCCGCCAGGGTCAGTGTGTTGGAGGTGGGACTTTCACGCTTGCGTGCGTGCGTCTGTGCGTGCGTGTGTGCGTGCGTACGTACGTACGTGTGGCCAAGATGAGAGCCTGAGGCGAGACCGCGTGAGGGGATTCCTGGCTGGACCATGGAAAGAGTGACCCTCTGAAGCGTCAGTCACAGGCCCTGCACCTGTGTCACTGCCCCCAGGCCTCAGAGGTAAGTGCACTTTTAAAACTACAGAAACAGCTAGAGTAGTTTTAGCAGACTCCTGTGGAGGGAAGCTTTTCCTTGGCTAAGATGGGGTGTGGCTGAGGAGGGCAGACAGAAACCTTCCCCAACGTGACGGCTGTGGGGGACCAAGGGACTAAGAGCACAGGCAGCCACCAGGACTGTCCCGGAAGTAGCTGTGTGGATCCTGAGCACTAATTCCACAGGAAGCCGCCTGGGGCAGAGCCCCTGCACAAAAGCCTGCTTTGTGCCCCTGTGGAGAGGCATCTGCCTGGGCAGGGGTCAGAGGAGGCTGAGCAGGGGCCTACAGGCCTAGGAGAGTGGAGCTCGCCCCAGTGTCTGGCTGGGTCTCTGGAGACCTACGAGATCCTGTCCTGTAAGATCCTGGTGGCTGTGGCCTCTCCATCTGGTCCTGGGCAGCAGTGCTCAGAGAAGTGGGAGGACAGTGTGTCTGGCCATCTGTCCGGCCATCCACTCACTCACTGGTACAGCCCGCTGTGACCTATTCCCATCTACACCTCTTGTCCTCATGAGCAGTCAGTCAGCAGCCATGTTCAAGGCAGAGCCCATGGTCAGTCTCCGCCCTCCCGCTTCCTCTACTTTGCCTAGGACATGGCATCCCAGACTACCCCAAATCCCTCCCTGGGTGCTCCTGCCCAAAGGGCGGAGGGCCTTGCTGCCTTCAGGGATTTCCCTCCCAGGAGGTGGAAAGCTGGAGTGCCTGGGTAGAGGAAGGGTGGCACAGGCTCCCTCAGGCTCTGGGGACTGAACTGACCTGGGGTTGAGGGACATGGCTGACGACACTCTATTAGCTGGGCTGCGGCTGTGTGGCCTGTGAGAGTGCTGCCTGTCCATGACGGAGGTGTGGTCTGGGGCCTTGGAGAGCCCAGGCGCTAGCTGTGTCCTCACACCTGGCAGGTCAGCTCCGTCTCTGGGCACTGCTCCTTCCTTCCCTGGCCAGCTCTGATCTCACCCTTGAGGTCACAATGGTCCCAGTGCCCACAGTTCTTTCCAAGAGCCTACACTGTTAGGGAGGTGGTGTGCACACGGGCAAGCTTGTATCTGTACAAATGTGTATGGACTTGTGTCCTCAGGGAGGCCTTCCAATGTCCTTGTCTTCTCTGGGTCTAAATTGTTTCCTGTGAAACTGTGGATCCAGCTTGGGAATTAGTGTGCTGGGCCCGGGTCCGTGTGCCAATGGCATTTCTTGGCGCTGAAGCTGTAACTGACCTTCTGGGCCCTGGCCTGAGAATGGAGACACTGTGGCCTAGGATTATCCTTTCAGCCTCTCTGTGCCTCCGTCTTTCCATTTGTAAAGTGGGGGCACAGCTGTCCCAGCTCCTGGGCTGCTCGGAGAGCCTGTGGAAGGAGGGAGTGCTGAATGGTGCTTCTGGGACTGTGATGTCTGATACTAGCAATGTGGGCGAACCAGTGCCTAGCTCAAGGTAATCTCAGCCGAAAGGTGTCACTACTGGCTGACGCCACCACGTGTGTGAAGAAGGCTCAGAATTCACCCAGCCTTGGGGACCCTGGACTCAGAGTCACTGCAGAGTACTGGAAGCTTGTCAGGAAGCTGGGGCACAGGGGAGGGTGGTACTGCTCCTGGGCAGGTCAAGGCCATCTAGGCTGAGGGGTGGGGAAGGGCCAACAATCCTGCCAGCTCCCACACATCCTGCCAGCTCTGTGTCCCAGGGCATCTCACAGCGCCTTGCAGACAGCTCTGGTGCGGCATTTACACCCCAGGACTGGGCACACAGTGCCAGTCAGTGGCAACTGGGCTGATAAACAGACTGGTTGGCCAGTCATGCCCCCACTCTGGAAACTTGCAAGCAGAGCCAGAAGTGAGACTTTGGGATGGAAATTGTGAACCGGGTGGGCCGTCACAACTGTTTTAATGGAGCAGAAGGAGGTACAGAGGGAGGAGTCTGAGGGGTGTTGTGGTCTAGCCTGGGGTCTGCCTGTGAGGTCTGTTTGGCCCTCATGGCTCCCAAAATATCCTTTGCTGCTGATTTGTACCTAGGTTAAGGTGAGGCCAACTTTCTGCAAGACCACCTGGCTCCTTAAGGAATCTCATTTTTTTTTTTCAAAGTTTTATTGATAAACAGCAGTGAGACAGTTTCAAATCCAATCGGAAGTACAGTTTCAACAAATAATACACTGCATATATTCTTCTTAGTGGTTAATTGCTGTACAAGAAGTGGACTTGTGATCCTATTTACAAACACC